TTCCAGTTATGTCATACATACATTTATAAGCACCCCCCCCATAAAGCCTTATGGGATACACTGTCACACTATGAGGGACAGAGACTCCTCATTGGGGGCTGGTAAGCTGGGATGCAGTGGGACAGCGGGGAATGGGGGGAGGCAGAAATGGGGATCCCCTCAGGTCTCCCCATGGGCACTTGTCCCCTTCCCCACAATCCCCAACCCCATATCGTTTATTTTCTGTGGCCCACAATAGCTGGAAATGGTCCTGTGACCCAAATCCCACAATCCTTTGCACACAGTTTCACTTCCCAGGTTATGTACAAATATTCTCAGGGAGGAAGAGTGGGCCTGTAGTCCTGGCTTGTGGCTGAGAGGTCTGAGGTCTTTCCTTGGCTCTGCCACATGTGCTCTGAGACTTTGGGTGAGCCACTCAATCCCTTTAAAAGTCAGTTTCCTTATGAGGAAAATATAAGCAATAACCTTAATCACAGGGCGTAGGGCATCTTCAGTCATTAACATTTGTAAAATACTTTGAGGCTGGGGCGCTAGAAACAAATGTATTATTTCTTTGGCTTTGATCCAGTTGTGATGGCATCCCCTGAATTCATTTCACTCTCACTTCTGTGATGGAACAAACCTCAAATCTCCAAACAAAACTGTGAACTTCCAAGCAGTGAACTTTGCATGAAACCGTTCATGACATGACACCAGTCTAAGTGTACGGGAAAGTTTTGTAAACCTAACAGAACTTGTCAGTGAATATGATCTGAACACGGGTGGGTGGGAGGGGGGGTATTCTAATGGCAGTGCCTAACTGCCATTACTGCCTTACAAAATCTCCCCATAAATTCATACTAAAAATTGGAACCAGACAAGTTTCCAGTGTTTTTTGTTTACTATTTTACATGGCTATTTGAGCATCAGTTGACTAGCAGGGCAATGTAATTTCCAGTTATGTTACTTTCTGATTAGTTATCGGAGCTTAAAAAGTCATTTTCTGGCTTAGCAACATCCCGGCAAGTGAGAGGCTGTGACCTTCTCTAAGTGGCACCGCAAACTGTTGCTTTAGAGAGAGATCTTCAAACTGAAAACCCCAGATAAGTTCCTAATTTTAGCATTTACAGAGAGCAACCATTTTCCTGTGGCTCTCTTCCTACTTACAGGTTTAGCAGGCAGTACCAGAGTCCATTTTGCTCTGCACTTCTAAGGGACATTGCTGATTCTTTACAACGTGCTCTTTAGT